TCCAAAAAAAAAAAAAAAAAAAAAAAAGTAAACTTTAGGTTTTAGTATAGATTTACAGAAAAGCTACAGGTTAGTGCAGAGACTTCCCATATACATCACATGTAGTTTCTCATTAACATCTTATATTTTTACATTTGTCATAATGAATGAATGTTGATCCTATCCAATAATAATATTGTTGAAGCAATGTTATTATTATTTATCTCTCCTATGGTGCTGAGATCTATTATTATTAATGAAAGCCCCTACTTTACTCAGATTTCCGTAGCTTTTACCTAATGTTCTTTTTTTCTATTCTAGGATCTCATCTAGGATAACACATTACATTGAGTCATCATGTCTTCCTTGGCTCCTCTTTGCTTTGATAGCTTTTTAGACTCTCCTTGTTTGTGATTGTCTCAATAGTTTTCGAGAGTTCTGGCCAGGCATTTTGTAGATTGTGTCTAATTTTGGGACTCGCCTAGTGTTTTTCCAGTGATTAGACTAGAGTTCAGGATTTTTTAGAAGGAAGCACACAGAGACAAACTGCTGTTCTCATCACATCATATAAGGGTACCTACTATTACCATATATGCACATCATCTTTCCTTTTTTTTTTTTTTTTTTTTTGTGACAGGGTCTTGCTCTGTCACCCAGGCTGGAGTACAGTGGCACAATCATAGCTCACTGTACCCTCGAACTCCTGGGCTCAAGCAGTCCTCCTGCCTCAGATTCCCAAAGTGCTGGGATTACAGGCGTGAGCCACCACACCCAACCTGTCTTTACTCTTAAGGAGTAAAGATTATTTCATTATTTTCAGTTTGTCTTCCCTTTCTATCATAGATATTTTTATTTCTACTCAACAAGGAAACACTATGTTTTTGCTTTCTGGTTATTTTTCAGACTTGAAGTTCAGATGTAAGACCAAATATTCATGTCTGCCAAAAGAAATCTATGAAGTAACATCATCTCAGTGGGTGAGAATGGAAAAACGTCATAGCCTTGTGGGCTCCAGTATCAGAGATGACTGGGAAAGCAAAGGCCAGTTTGAGCAACAAGGTATAAATCAGGAGCGACATTTGGGAAAAGCATTAATGACATATGAAAAAATGCCAACTTTCTGCCTACAGACATCTCTCACTCTGCATCATCAGATTCATCCTGGAGAGAAACTATATAAATCCACAGAATGTATGGCTCTTAAGTATGGCTCAGAACTTACACAAGAGCAAGAAACCCATACTAGTGAAAAACTTTATAAATGTAAGGAGTGTGAGAAGGCCTTTGGTCATTTTTCCAATCTTGTTAAACATCAGAGAATTCATACTAGGGAAAAGCCCTATGCATGTAAAGAATATGGAAAAGCTTTTGTTTCTGGTTCACATCTTATTCCACACCAGAAAATTCATACAGATGAGAGACCCCATGAGTGTCAGGAATCTGTGAAGGCCTTTAGACCGTCTGCACACCTTACTCAACATCAGAGAATTAATACTGGTGACAAACCTTATGAATGTAAGGAATGTGGAAAATCTTTTACTTCTGGCTCAACACTAAATCAACATCAGCAAATTCACACAGGTGAGAAACCCTATCATTGTAAGGAATGTGGAAAATCTTTTACTGTTCGCTCAACACTAATTCGACACCAGCGAATTCACACTGCTGAGAAACCTTATGATTGTAAGGAATGTGGAAAATCTTTTGTTTCAGTCTCAGCATTAATTCGACATCAGCGAATTCACACTGGTGAGAAACCCTATGATTGTAAGGAATGTGGAAAATCTTTTACTTTTCGCTCAGCACTAATTCGACATCAGCGAATTCACACTGGTGAGAAACCCTATCATTGTAAGGATTGTGGAAAATCTTTTACTTTTCGCTCAGGGTTAATTGGACACCAGACAATTCACACTGGTGAGAAACCCTATGATTGTAAAGAATGTGGAAAATCTTTTACTGCTGGCTCATCACTAATTCAACATCAGCGAATTCACACTGGTGAGAAACCCTATGATTGTAAGGAATGTGGGAAATCTTTTGCTTCAGCCTCAGCGCTACTTCAACATCAGCGAATTCACACTGGTGAGAAACCTTATCGTTGTAAGGAATGTGGTAAATCTTTTACTTTTCGCTCAACACGAAATCGACATCAGCAAATTCACACTGGTGAGAAACCCTATGATTGTAAGGAATGTGGGAAATCTTTTGCTTCTGGCTCAGCACTACTTCAGCATCAACGAATTCACACTGGTGAGAAACCCTATCATTGTAAAGAATGTGGAAAATCTTTTACTTTTCGCTCAGGGCTAATTGGACATCAGGCAATTCACACTGGTGAGAAACCCCACGATTGTAAAGAATGTGGAAAATCTTTTACTTTTCGCTCAGCACTAATTCACCATCAGCGAATTCACACTGGTGAGAAACCTTATAATTGTAAGGAATGTGGAAAATCTTTTACTGTTGGCTCAACACTAATTCAACATCAGCAAATTCACACTGGTGAGAAACCCTATGAGTGTAAGGAATGTGGGAAGGCCTTTAGACTTCGTTTACGACTTACTCAACATCAACAGATCCATACTGGTGAGAAATCTTACCAATGTCAGGAATGTGGGAAAGCCTTTACCAGTGTCTCAGGACTCACCCAACATCACAGAATTCACACTGGTGAGAAACCCTATGAATGTCCAGAATGTGGGAAGGCCTTTACACAGCGTACATATCTTAATCAACACCGGAGAATTCATACTGGTGAGAAACCTTATGAATGTAAAGAATGTGGGAAATCTTTTACTTTCTGCTCAGGACTAATTCAACATCAGCAAAATCACACTGGCGAGAAACCCTATGATTGTAAGGAACGTCGGAAATCTTTTACTTCTCACTCAACACTCATTCAACGTCAGCAAACACACACTGGTGAGAAACTCCATGATGATAAGGAATCTGGGAAATCTTTTACTTCTCATTCAACACTAATTCAACATCAGCGAATTCATACTAGTGAGAAACCCTATGATTGTAAGGAATGTGGGAAATCTTTTACTTCTCACTCAACACTAACTCAACATCAGCAAACGCACACTGGTGAGAAACCCTATCACTGTAAGGAATGTGGGAAATCTTTTACTCTTCGCTCAGCACTAATTCAACATCGGCCAATTCACACTGGTGAGAAACGCTATGATTGTAAGGAATGTGGAAAATCTTTTACTTCTCACTCTACACTAATTGAACATCAGCGAATTCACACTGGTGAGAAACCCTATCATTGTAAGGAATGTGGAAAATCTTTTACTTTTCGCTCAGCACTAATTCAACATCAGCAAATTCACACGGGTGAGAAACCCTATGATTGTAAGGAATGTGGAAAGGCCTTTAGACGTCATTCAAAACTTACTCAACATCAACGAATCCATACTGGTGAGAAACCTTATCAATGTCAGGAATGTGGGAAAGCTTTTGTCCGTTTGTCAGGACTCACTAAACATCACAGTATTCACACTGGCGAGAAACCCTATGAATGTAAGACATGTGGGAAGTCCTTCAGACAGCGTACACACCTTACTCTACATCAGAGAATTCATACCGGTGACAGACCTTATGAATGTAAAGAATGTGGAAAATCTTTTACTTGTGGCTCAGAACTAATTCGACATCAGCGAACTCACACTGGTGAGAAACCTTATGATTGTAAGGAATGTGGGAAGGCCTTTCGATGTCCTTCACAACTAAGTCAACATAAACGAATCCATACTGGTGACAAAACATATCAATGTCCAGAATGTGGGAAAGCCTTTTTCTATGCCTCAGGACTCAGCCGACATTACAGTATTCACACTGGTGAGAAGCCTTATGAATGTAAGACATGTGGGAAGGCCTTTAGACAGCTTACACAGCTAAGCCAACATCGGAGAATTCACGACCTAACATAATGAATGTAGGAAACCATTCTCATGCCATTCGTTTGCCATGAATCATCAGCAGATTCCATATGTGGGTCAAACACAATGGATGTGGGAATTCCTTTTGCTTCATATTCACTTTTTTCAAAATTAGGACATTTAATACTGAAAAAAGTTGATAATGAATGTAAATGAGTTTTCTATCATGACTCAAAGCTTGTTGAAACACAAATTCATATTAGAGAATGTGGTCAATGACAAATGACAACCATTTACTACCTATGTGACATTTGGCTAATTATGTAAACTCTCTGTGCCAAAATTACTAAATGATAAAATGTTGATAGTATTAGTTTTTCTGTTTGTTTTGAGATGGAGTCTCTCTTGTTGACCATATTTTTAGTATAGATGGGGTTTCACCATGTTGGCCAGGCTGGTTTCGAACTCCTGACCTCAAGTGATCCCCCTGCCTTGGCCTCTCAAAGTGTTGAAATTACAGGCATGTGCCACTGCACCTGGCTCTAGCTCCATTAAAAATATTTAGACATATATATATATTTCCAAAGATACTCATGCATCAATATATTTAATATTTCTTGAGTGCATACTCTGAGCCATCCCTGTGTTAGGAACTGTTGATAAAATTGTGTGTAAGAAAAATAAGAACTTTGTTGTCTTGGAGTTTGCTTTAAGTATAGTAGACAGAGTAACAAACAAATAAATTATATATGTAATATAAAACCAGACTGTATGTGTGCTATAAAGTAAGGTAAGGGATTAGAGAAAAATGGGGTGGGCAGGGCTAATTTGGATAAGGTAGTCAGGAAAGGCATTTCTTTTTTTTAATTTTAATTTTCTTTTACAAAGACAGGGTTTCACCATGTTGGTCAGGCTGGTCTTGAACTCCCGACCTCAGGTGATCCACCCGCCTTGGCCTCCAAAGTGCTTGGATTACAGGCGTGAGCCACCATGCCCAGCCAGGAAAGGCATTTCTGACAAGTTGGTATTTGCATGAATGTAGATATATGGTTGCATTTTATTGTACATAAATTGTACTTCGATAAAGTTGATGAAAACTTAAAAACTCATCCACTATGTACTTCACATTGTTGTATTTCACTCTATTTAAATTATACTTCCATTTTAAAAACTTAACACATCTCTACAACTTACTTATCTATTGATTTCTACTTTTACTAATATGCTTATGGATGATTTTAAATATATATATATCTTAACCACTAAGGATAATAAAACAACCTTTTAAGAAGGTTATTTTAAGGTTAATCAATTGAGGCGTTGTCTCAACTGACTCTTTTGTATCAATTTGTAGTCAGATGAGGTTTGTCTCAATTTATTGAAACAAATCAAATGTTTGTTCTCAAATTCTTACTCTGTCATTTATTATTCCTTCTCCACGTTTTTGGTACTGGTTCCTTGGCAGTATTTAAACATGAATATTTATAGAGAGAGTGAAGACGGAAGAGTGCTTTTTATAGTTCAGCTGTCTTTTTCGTGTGTGACAGGGTTTTGCTGCGTTGCCCAGGCTGGAGTGCAATGGCACAATCTCGGCTCACTGCAGCCTCAACTTCCCGGGCTCAACTGATCCCCCACCTCAGCCTCCTGAGTAGCTGGGACTACAAGTGCACACCACCACACAGAGCTAATTTTTGTATTTTTTGTAGAGAAAGGGTTTCATCATGTTGCCCAGGCTGGTCTTGAACTCCTGGGCTCAAGTGATCCTCTCACCTCAGCCTCCAGGTGCTGGGACTTAGAGGTGTAAGCCACTGTGCTCAGCCAATACTCTTGATGTTTTTACTCTTTTTTGTGAAAAAAGTAGGGAGAAATAATTTTTTAAAGAGCAGAGAAAAGCAAAATGAAAACAGATCACCTGTATATTCTTATCAACCAAAGATGATCTATTCGGGGTAAATCCTTTTAATAGAGGATTTTCAATATTTCTAGTCTGCCACAGTGTTGGAAAGAAGAATCATACCGACATCTTACCGCATTTTTTCTCTTCCTGTACCTGGTATATCTCTATGTTTCCATAGATATTCTTTTAGGTGCTTTAGTAAGTCTTTATGTTTTTAGCATAAAAGTTTACACATTTCTTATTTTACTTATTTCTAGATAATGATTTTTTTGTTTATATTATGATTGAGATACTTTTTCTGTTACGTAATTGATTACTATTACTATGTACTAAATGCTGTTTTTTTGTCTAAGGATTGTAACATTGATAAACTAGTAGATCAAATGGTTTCTTCATGAGATTGAATTGCCTAGAAAGATGTCGGTATTATTTGTAAATAAAAATGTTTGTCTATTTCTTTCTATATGCATTATTTCTTTTCTTAATTTGTACTTTTAGCTTGGATCATATGTATAGTATGAATGTCTATAGCACTAGTTTCCTCATCTTGACCCTTTCTGTAAGGGCGTTTTTTTTTGTTTGTTTTTTTTTTCAGGGTCTCACTCTGTTACCAGGCTTAAATGCAGTGGCATTATCACTGCTCACTGCAGCCTCAACCTCCCAGGCTCAATCAATCCTTCCCACCTCAGCCTCCCGAGTAGATGGGACTACAGGTGTGCGCTACCACGCCTGGCACATTTTTGTATTTTTTGTAGAGATGGGGTTTTGCTATGATGTCGAGGCTGGTGTCGAACCTCTGGGCTCAAGCAATCCACCCTCCTCAGCCTCCCCAAGTGTTGGGATTACAGGTGTGAGCCATCATGCCTGGCCAAAGGACTTTCTTTTGTTGTTTGCTTTTTGAGATGGAGTCTCTCTCTGTCGCCCAGACTGGAGTGCAGTGGCGTGATCTTGGCTCACTGCAACCTCCACCTCCCAGGTTCAAGAAATTCTCCTGCCCTCAGCCTCCTGAGTAGCTTGGATTACAAGCATGTGCCACCATGCCTAGCTAATTTTTGTATTTTTAGTAGAGACAGGGTTTCACCATGTTGGTCAGGGGGCTGGTCTCAAACTCCTGACCTAGTGATCTGCCCACCTCAGCCTCCCAAAGTGCTGGGATTATAGGGGTGAGCCACAGTGCCCAGTCAAGAGAGTATTTTTAATGTTCACCATTAAGGATGATTGCGGTAGGTTTATGGTTTTACTAATTAAAACAATTTTTGGCTAGGCAAAGTGGCTCTATACTTCAGCCTAGGCGACAGAGCAAGACTCTCAAAAAAAAATTTTAATAAAGGAACTGTGTTAAACTATAAATAAAACCACTTGGGCCTATATTTAGTCAGATTATATCTTCCACTATTCAAAGGCAAGACCTCATGACTTGTTATTTTCTTATTAAGTTGGTTGAGGTATAATTTACATAGATTGCAATTCATACTTTTAAATGAACTTGATTAATGTTGATATCAGTATCTATCTGTTATGCTACTACCACAATCATAGAGGACATTTCCATCATCCCCTAAACACCCCTCATGTCTGTTTGCAGTCAGCCTTCCCTCCCTGCTTATTCGCAGCTCACTACAACTACAGATCTGCTTCTTATAACCGTAGTAGGGTTTTTTCATTTTTTGTTGTTGTTGTTGTCTGTTTGTTTTGTTGTTGTTTAGTTTTGTTGGGACGGAGTTTCACTCTTGTTGCTCAGGCTGGAGTGCAATGGCGCAATCTCAGCTCACTGCAACCTCTGCCTCCTGGTTTCAAGCAATTCTCCTGCCTCAGCCTCCCAAGTAGCTGGGATTACAAGCATGTGCCACCATGCCTGGATAATTTTGTACTTTTAGTAGAGACAGGGTTTCACCATGTTGGCCAGGTTGGTCTCAAATTCCTAACCTCAGTTGATCCACCTTCCTTGGCCTCCCAAAGTGCCGGGATTACAGGCATGAGCCACCATGCCTAGCCTGTAGTTTTGATGTCCATACTTTCACTTCTGACACTGTCAATTTGTGTGTTCTGTCTCTCTTTTGATCAGTCTGGCTAGAGGTTTATCAATCTTATCGACCTCTTCAAAAAATCAATTAATATTTTTTCAATTTTTTTTTTTTTTGCTGTGGTAAAATACATATAAAATTTACCATCTTAACTTTTTTTTTTTTTTTTTTTAGATGGAGTTTCACTCTTGTTACCCAGGCTGGAGTGCAATGGCGCAATCTCTGCTCACCGCAACCTCCGTGTCCTGGGTTCAGGCAATTCTCCTGCCTCAGCCTCCTGAGTAGCTGGGATTACAGGCACGC